TGGCTTTTTCCATACAGACTTTATTTTTAATGCAAATGGATTATTGATCTTTTTATAAAGAAAAACAAAAATTGCCGGGCGCGGTGGCTCAAGCCTGTAATCCCAGCACTTTGGGAGGCCGAGGCGGGTGGATCACGAGGTCAAGAGATCAAGACCATCCTGGTCAACATGGTGAAACCCCGTCTCTACTAAAAAATACAAAAAATGAGCGGGGCATGGTGGCACATGCCTGTAATCCTAGCTACTCGGGAGGCTGAGGCAGGAGAATTGCCTGAACCCAGGAGTCAGAGGTTGCGGTGAGCCAGGATCATGCCATTGCACTCTAGCCTGGGTAACAAGAGCAAAGCTCCGTCTCAAAAAAAAAAGAAAAACAAAAATTTCAGGACCCCCAAATTTGTTATGCTAAAAGGAGAGTTGGCCAGGCGTGGTGGTGCACGCTGGTAATCCCTGCACTTTAGGAGCCCAAGACAGGTGGATCATGAGGTCAAGAGATTGAGACCATCCTGGCCAATATGGTGAAACCCTGTCTCTACTAAAAATACAAAAAATTAGCTGGGAGTGGTAGCCAGCACCTGTAGTCCCAATTACTCAAGAGGCTAAGACAGGTGAATGGCTGGAGCCTGGGAGGCAGAGGTTGCAGTGAGCCAAGATTGCGCCACTGCACTCCAGCCTGGCAACAGAGCAAGACACTGTCTCAAAAATAAAATAAATAATAATGATAATAATTAAGGGAGAGTTAAACTTGGAGACTAAATCACACAACACTGGCATTCCTTTTTTTTTTTTTTTAAGATGGAGCCTTGCTCTATTCCCCGGGTTGGAATGCAGTGGCCTGATCTCTGCTCACTGCAACCTGCACCTCCTGGGTTCAAGCGATTCTCCTGCCTCAGCCTCCCAAGTAGCTGGGATTACAGGTGCCCGCCACCACACCCGGCTAATTTTTGTATTTTTAGTAGACACGGGATTTCAACATATTGGTCAGGCTGGTCTTGAACTCCTGACCTCAGGTGATCCACCCACCTCAGCCTCCCAAAGTGCTGTGATTACAGGTGTGAGCCATGAGCCATCGTACTGGCCTTTTTTTTTTTAATTCTGGCAACACCTCATTCTAAGCTGTAAAACTAATGTCTCCAACACCGTCATTCTTTTCCCAAATGGATACCTGTTACCTTGCAACCTTGTGTCAAAACATTCTGCATTAGCCAGATCCCCAGAAAAATGCAAAAAGCCTCATGCATCTCCAGGTGACTGCCTTCACAAATTGCTCATCAGTAAATCCTTTGCCAGCCCCTAAACCTTTCAGGAAGTATATCCTCCCATAAAACAAGGACATGTGAATTGGAACTTTAGGTCTGGAACCTAACCCTACCTCCTAAAACCAAAGTCTGTTAAATCTCACAGTGACAATGTCAGTTATAAGTTTATCGGCCCAGGTGCAGAACAGTTATTCCTCCATCTACCCTGAGGCCTCTGCAAAATTGGCTCTTCCTTTACTCCCTGTTCTTCAAGTGTTCACCCTATCTTCCATATACCCTAGATTTACGGGACACTAATTAACAGTCTCACAAAAACATAACCATTTGCCTCACTGCCTTCTCCCCTGTACAAATATTGAGCCTCCTGAAAACTTCTTGGGAGAGCACAGGCCACAGACATTTCTGTGATTTGTGTTGCTTTCCTGGGCATGCTCGACCTCTGGATCAATAAATTTCGACTGATTGAAGCGCTTGCCTCCATCTCTTATTGGGGTTAAGATTTTCTCTCTTTTCTATAGCCTAATTTAGGAAGTGAAAGGTTTTCTTTTACGGTTTCTGTGTTTGGTGACACAGAAGTTTCCTCCACTCCAAGATTCTACAACACCCTTTGTTTCTTCAGTATTTTTACATTTTTTTAGGCCAGGCGTGGTGGCTCAAGCCTGTAATCCCAGCACTTTGGCAGGCTGAGGCCGGTGGATCATGAGGTCAAGAGATCGAGACCATCCTGGTCAACATGGTGAAACCCCGTCTCTACTAAAAATACAAAAATTTAGCTGGACATGGTGGCGTGTGCCTGTAATCCCAGCTACTCAGGAGGCTGAGGCAGGAGAATTGCCTGAACCCAAGAGGTGGAGTTTGCGGTGAGTCAAGATCGCGCCATTGCACTCCAGCCTGGGTAACAAGAGCGAAACTCCATCTCAAAAAAAAAAAAAATTGTTTTTAGAGAGGGTCTCACTCTGTCACCCAAACTGGAATGCAGTGGTGTGATCACGGCTCTGATCACGGCTCATTGCAGCCCTGAACTCTGGGGCTCAGATGATCCTCCTGCCTTACTGTCCCAAGTAGCTGGGACTACAGACGTGTGACTGTGCCTGGCTAACACATATCTATCTATAGATATGTATATGTAGAGATGGGGTCTTGCCTTGTTGACTAGGCTGGTCCTGCATTCCTGGCCTCAAGCAGTCCTCCTGCCTCAGCCTCCCGAGAAGCTGGTACTCCAGGTGTGTATCACCATGCCTGACTAATTTAAAAATATTTTTTTTTGTAGAGATAGAGTCTCACCATGTTGTTGCCCAGGCTGGTCTCAAACTTCTAGGCTCAAGAGATCCATCCACCCTGGCCTCCCAAAGTGTTGGGATTATAGGCATGAGCCACTGCACCTGGCCCCCAACTCTCAAATAAAGAAAACTATGATTCTTGGGCACACTCACTATCATGTGACCTTGATCAAATCACTTCACCTCTCCAAACCTCAGAGTCTTTATTGCTAAGATGGAAACAGTAACACCTACTCCAGGGGCTGTCATGAGGATTAAATAAATGTGCCCAGTAGGTAGTAAGTATACAATACAAAGCCTCTAATGGTTCATTCATACATTTGCTTATTAATTTTTTTTTGAGATGGAGTCTTGCTCTGTCACCCAGGCTGGAGTGCAGTACTACAATCTCAGCTCATTGCAGCCTCTGCCTCTTGGGTTCCAGCAATTCTCCTCTCCTGCCTCAGCCTCCTGGGTAGCTGGTATTACAGGCGCATACCACCACGCCCAGCTAATTTTTGTATTTTTAGTAAAGACAGGTTTTTGTCACGTTGGCCAGGCTGGTCTTGGAACTCCTGACCTTAAATGATCCCCCACCTTGGCTTCCCAAAGTGCTGGGATTACAGGCATGAGCCACTGTGCTCAGCCTACATTTGCTTATTTTGCAATTATTAGCCACCCGACAATGTTGGGTACTGATTTAGGCACTGGGGAATACAGCAAGGGCAGACACCTAACTACTGGCGGAGGGAAGACAGTAAGCAAATATGTAAAGGTATGTGCCAGGTAGGGATAAAAGCAGAGAATGGCCCATGGAGAGGGTCAGCCAGGGAGAACACGCTGTACCCTGCTTTGTCACAGTTCATCCAGTGAGGGATATTTCTACAGGGCACATGACCTTATTTTTCATTATTCTTGGTTAATTCCTGTTTCTAGGAGGTCAAGGCTCTCGTGGTTCTGTGGAATCACCAGCTGCTCCTGTGGATGTGGCTTAGTCTGAGCTGATATAACCAGTAGCTCTGTGTTGCTGGCACCGTTTGGCTTTGGCAGGGCTCAGCGTGGGAGGCCTTGCCTGTGAACTGTTCTAGAAGGCAAGCTGCAGGGCTGCACAGCATTCCATTTTCCATTGTGAGTGCTGGGGGGGGACAGTGGTTAGCAGATGACACAGGCCCAGTCCTCAGGGTGAGCACAGGAAGATGAATGAGAAAACCCTTCAATTCTCTGTATGCTGGGCTCTCCAGGGATGAGAAACTCAGGGGAGGGCACAAAGGTGGCCTCAATGCAGGCTAGTAAGGGTGGGTAGCAAAACAGTAAATAGAGCTGAAGCTGGGGCCAGATGCCAGGTAGGCCACATACTTCATCATCATGTCTCAGCAACCCTGGCCTAGCAACCCCAGCCCAAAAAGGTGGCCTCCTTTCCAGTCTTCCCACCAACCAGCTGATTGGACCAACTGATTGGACTAGCTGATTGGACCAACCAGAGTCAGATGCTCATCCTTGACTCATCACAGTGGCCTGGAAGATGCCATATGTTGACTGGTTGGTAGCAGCAGGCAGGTACTGGTACCATTAAGGCAAGGCTGTTGGATATAGACACGGAAGGCCATTAGGACATGGGAAATTCTCAGACTCATCAGGCTCTGGCCCCTTTCAACCCTCTGGGCCCTTGCACATGCAGTGCCCTCTTCTCAGAAAACTTCTGGCTAGGACTAGTGGCTCACGCCTGTAATCCCAGCACTTTGGGAGGCTGAGTCGGGTAGATCACCTGAGGTCGGGAGGTCCAGACCAGACTGACCAACATGGAGAAACTCGATCTCTACTAAAAACACAAAATTAGCTGAGCATCGTGGCACACGCCTGTAATCCCGGTTACTCCGGAGGCTGAGGCAGGAGAATCGCTTGAACCTGGGAGGCGGAAGCTGCGGTGAGCTGAGATTGTGCCATTGCACTCCAGCCTGGGCAACAAGAGCAAAACTCCGTCGCAAAAAAAAAAGGAAAAAAAAGGAAACTTTTCCCTCCACTCTGCTGGGCTGTTCCATTCTTCCCTCTAGGTTTCCAAACTTTGCCTTCTCCTGGCAGCCCCTCAAATTCTCTCGACGGGATCTCACCACCATACACATCTAGTGGGTGCTTGCTAGAAGGCGGATCTGGGCTCTCACCGTGAGGGCAAAGCCTAGCTGCCATGACTACCCCGAGGCGCCAAGGGCCTCAGGGGAGGCGCTCAAGAAACGGGCTCTGGGGAAGCATGGCACACGCACGCGCGCGCACCCATCCACAAGCAGACCCCTTCCTGGGTGCAAACCCGGGTACGCTGGGACCGCCTCCTATTCGGAAACCCACCTGGCTTGGGGCGCAAAGATCGGGCGCGCGCGCGCATCATCCGCCCCACCCACAGACCACCGTGATCAGGGAGCACTGACACACATGCGCGTCCTCCCACGCACGCTCGGTCACACGCAGGCCCATCTCCTGCTTCAGAGGAACGCGCTGCTGTGCGCACGGCGGATCAACTAGCCTTGAAACCACCCGGACCGAGGCACACGCTGCGCGCATGCGCGGCCCCGAGTCCCCGCCTCCAGGCCGCGCCTGTCGGGGGCGGGGCGCCGCTGGGGGCGGGTCCTGCGGCACCGCCCGGGAAGCTGCGCGAGGTTCTATAGCCTCCACCACATCCTTCTCCTCTTCTGGTCCAAGCGAGCGGAGCCGAGCCAGGGCCAAGCGGAGGGCGCCGACGGGGTGGACTGAGCGAAGCGCCGAGCCATGGCGCACCAGACGGGCATCCATGGTGAGGGCGGATGGCAGGCGGGTGGGCGGGCAGGGGGCCTGGGTCTCGGCTCTCGGAAGCGCCCCCTCCCCGGCTCTCAGCCCCTCCCTCCACCCCGCACCAGCCAGGAGAAGCTTCCTGTTCTCTTTTGCAGCCGCGGGTCGCCTGGGGTGGGCACATCGTGGGGGAGTACGGACGTGCTGTGCATAGCTGGGAGTGGGTGTACATGTACGTACACAGCTGGGGTGGAAATTTCTGTGCCTATCTGGGGGTGAATGTGCCTGCGTGTGTGTGCCCATCTGTATATTTTTGCTCCTTTCCGGGAGTGGGTGTACACGCATGTGCACACGTCTCCTGTGTACCGTCCTGCGTGTGCACCTCTGGATGTGACTTGGTTGTGCACATCTAGGGTCACTCATGCACTGGCACTACTGGCTGTTTGAATGCACACTGTAGGTCCCATAGGACCCTCTTTAGACATCAGTGTTTCATGCAGTGTGCACGTGTGTGGGTGTGTGTGTGCACAGTTGGAGCGCAGCTCAGTGTGCATTTGTTGCCAAGGATACATGTACTGGATGTGTCTGTATGACTTGAATGGGCTTGTGTATGTGTGTAAGGAGGGGGCCCTGACCTCTGCTCCTCCCAGGACACTCACACTCTCCCCAGGCTAGGGAAAACCAGGGACAGAGCCTTCTAAGTGGGATGGAGAAAGTTACCTATCTGACCTTGACCTCTGACCTCCCTCCCATGTTCCACTGTGACCTTCTGAGTATGCTTCAGTCCAGTTGGAAGATCCCAGCTCCAAGCTGCAGACAGGGAAGAGGTCCAGATATGGGGTTTATAGGGGACAGTCCTGGCCCTAAATAATCCAGGCCGGCTCCCACCCACACCCAACTCCTAGGAAGCTTCACCATCCCCTAGCATCATACCCCTCCTCCCCCAGGGGTCCCAATTTCCTTCTTGGACTGGTTGTGAGAGAAGCAATGGCCAGGAGCCAGGTGCTCTAACTCTACCTGGGCCTCAGTGTCCTCATCTGTCACTGGCCTGGGAGGGCTGCCTGGCCTGTGGGGAAGGCCCAGGCTGTTTGCCCAGACAGCCTGGCGGGTTTGGCCATCAGCCACCCCTCCCACCACACTAGGATCCCCTGCCTGGGGCTGCCACCATCGACCTGCCTGACCGCCTGAATCCTGGTGCGGTTGTGGCCACTTGGTGGCTGGACTGCCCTGAGATTTCCCTGGCCGGCGAAGGCAGGGGCCTGGGTCAGGGCCAGGCCTCCCAGATGGGCCAGCCTTTCTCCAGGAGGAGCTGGCAGGCGGGCTTCATGACTCAGCCCCACAGGAGGGAAAGGCCTCCTGGCCGGCTTCTTCCTTCCCCTTTGTCTGGTCATAGCTGCTGCCTCCTAGCCTCCAACCCGAGTGGAGGAGATCCCAGGAAGTTAACCACCCCACACCCCCTCCCTGCTGCCGCACTCCCTCATTTCCCACAGGAAGACAGGCCCACCGAGGGGGTCACTGGGGACTGGGCTGCCCCCAGCCCTCCTTCCGCCTGTGAGCTGCCCAGTCCTTCTCATTTCTGGGCAGGGGAGTTGGCAGGTGAGATCACCCTGGAGGACCAAGTGCCAACCCTGTCCTGACCGTAGGTGTGGATCTGCTGACCTCAGAGCAGGGCAGGGAAGGGGCCTGTAACCTGAGGCTCACTGGAGCCGGAGGAAGGGTGTTCATGAATCATTGATAATAGAGGCTTAAGTGTCCCAGGCCTGGCCTCTGGATTATTGATGGCGGCTGGGCAGGTGTAGAGGCTGGGGTGGGCAGGGATGTGCCTTCCTCTGCTGGGGTGTCAGTTTGCCCTGGTAATACTAGAAGGGGTCTGTTGGTCTGTCCCTTGGGGGAGCTTCTTGGCCTCTCTTCTGGGAAAGTCTGGGCAGGTAGAAGGGGCAGCTCAGCACAGCCATGCTTGCTGTTATTATCATAATAAAAGATGAATTGTCATTAATAAAGGCTGCCATCATCAAGCCCTTTCTCCCATTTATCCCTCACCACAGCCCTGCAAAGTTTGGGGCTATTATGTCTTGTTTTTGAGATGGAGTCTTGTTCTATCTCCCAGGCTGGAGTGCAGTGGCACTGCACTTGGCTTACTGCAACTTCTGCCTCCTGGTTCAAGCGATTCTCCTGCCTCAGCCTCCCGAGTAGCTGGGACTACAGGCGCTCACCACCACCAGATAATTTTTGCATTTTTGGTAGAGATGGGGTTTCACCACGTTGGCCAGGATGGTCTCAATCTCCTGACCTTGTGATTCACCTGCCTGGGCCTCCCACAGTGCTGGGATTACAGGCAGGAACCAGGCCATTATCTCAGTTTTATACACTGAAGTTCAGAGAGGTCAGGGGTCACACAGCTGAAGGAAAGGTGGAGCCCCAGAGGCCAGGCTTGGGGCCTCAGGTACCTGCTTGGGATCTGCCTATGGAAAGTTATGTCCTGGCCCAGTGGGATGGTGTCCACCTGCTACAGTTCCATGACACGCTTCTCTGAGAAGGGTCTGCTGAACTCAGTTGGGCCCCAGCCCACTCAGTGGCCTTGGAGGGTGGTGTGTAGCCTGAGGTCTCAGATTCACAGTCACTCTGCAAAGGGGGGCACCTGAGGACATGACCAGAGTTTGTTTTCCTAAAGGCCCCCCCACCCCATCCCTGAGTTGCCCAGTCCTGGCCCTATAAATATTCTCTGACCTCAGGCCTCCAGCTGTGTTCCTGACAGAATTCCCCTGACCCCTGGGCAGCCTCAAGGTCACGCTGGCCTAGCCCTGCTCACCCAGGGACCCAAGCAGGGTCCTTCCCCACGTGGACTGTGGTTTCCCCATCCACTAGGAGATCCACCACTTATGGCTCTGCGCTCTCACCATGGTCCTCACCTCTTGCCTGGGGTTCTTAGTCACTCACTGGCTCTCACCTTTCATTATAGCCCAAGGACCAAGATGGAGTCTCTTAGGAAGTTTCAGGGCCACTTCTCCTCCTGGAATCTGTCCCTACTGCCTGAGGGTTAAGGGTGTGTTGTCCCCCACAGTGCTGTGCCTGGGCTGGCTGGGGCTCCTGGGGCCTCAGGGTTAGACAGTCTGGCTGGAGGGCTGGGGCTGTGCACACAGGTGTCATTGTGTCCATGTGCTTCTGTGTACACTTTGATACATCCTCTTGCCTGCACACACATCTCAGCCAAGCTCTGCACTTGCCTGCCTGTGTGCGTGTTAGCAAGCTGGGGACTGTATCTCTGTGTGTGTTTGCATATCTAAACGTGTGTGTCCATTTGCGTTTGAGCAGCTGAGTGTGTATTAATGTATGAGGGCGTTTGCATTCCTTTTTTTGTTTGTTTGTTTTTCTGAGAGAGAGTCCCGCTCTGTTGCCCAGGCTGAAGTGCAGTGGTACAATCTCTGCTCACTGCAACCTCCACCTCCTGGATTCAAGCAGTTCTCCTGCCTCAGCTTCCCAAATAGCTGGAATTACAGGTGTGTGCCACCACACCTGGCAAATTTTTTGTATTTTTAGTAGAGATGGGGTTTCACCATGTTGGCCAGGCTGGTCTCGAACTCCTGACACCAGGTGATCCACCTGCCTCCGCCTCCCAAAGTGCTGGGATTACAGGGGCGTGAGCCAACATGTCTGGCTGGTGTTTGCATTTCTGCTTCTCTGTCACACATGTGTGTTATCTGTTACATTTGCACATGCTGGATTGAGCTATGTGTGTGTGTGTGTGTGTGTATACATAGTGGTCATGGCACAGTGGGGGCATTTGTCTGTATGTTCCTTTGTGTATATGACTGTGCTGAGTGTGTCCCAGGCCAGCTCACAGCTCGGCCGTCCTGGAGGCAGGGGGCAGATGGAGGCTATTCACTGTGGCTGGCCTGGCTTATGCCAGAGCCTGCCCCGTCTTCGGGTGGGCTGTCCCCTCCTTGCCCACCCCGCCCTGTCACCAGACCTACCCCAGCCGGCCAGCCACTTGCCTGCCATCTCTGCTGGCTAAATTTGGGAGCTTGCGTTCAGTGGCTGTCTCAGGTTCCCAGTCACATGGGGGGCCGTATTTAACCTGGTTCCCAGCTCAGCCACCAGACCCTGCGGGACAGAGCAGGCTCCATATTCGTCTCTGTCCACTCTGCCCACTCATCCCCCACCATGTTTCTTGTTCTTATAGCCACGGAAGAGCTGAAGGAATTCTTTGCCAAGGCACGGGCTGGCTCTGTGCGGCTCATCAAGGTTGTCATTGAGGACGGTGAGTGCCCACCACAGGCCAGGGAATAGGCTTGGGGCTGGACTCAGCTGCCTCTATGGGTGGGGGATGGTGGATGTTGGCCCCTGGCCTGCCAGGGGCCTAAATCTTCCCCTCTGGAAACAGGTGTTAGGCCATCCTGACAAAGGAGAGCCTCATAGGGGAGCATCAGAGGTGGGTGTGATTGTCACCCGTTATGCAGAGCAGGAAGCTGAAGCTGGGGTCAGCAAACAGAGCCCTGTCCTGGGGTCCTGCCACCTCCCAGAGACTGCCTGGGTATTCAGATGGGCCTGATCAGGATGCTGAGCTGGGCTGGGCAGAGGGGCAGGGGATAAGTGAATCCAGGCACTGCTCTATGTGGCTGGTGCCACCGGCCCCTATCTGTCTGTGGCCTGGCTTGGCTCAGCTGCTCGCGGTGGAGACATCTAAGGAGATCCTGCACCCTTCTCTCAGAAGTGCCCCCATGATGGGGTGAAGGGACGAGTATCTGGCTCATCTGAGAGCAGGGTGGGAGGGTTCTAGGCTTGGCTGGGCCTTGGCCTGGCCCCTGAGGACCTGGGAGTTGTATAGGGGGCAGTGTTGAGGGTGCTGGGACTTGAGCTGAGGCCTGAAGTGGGGAGGGTTTGGGGAGGCAGAGGATTAAACTGAGGAGGATTGGGAGGTCAGAGGTAGAGGACAGAGGACTTTTTCCCCTTTCCTCCATGCCAAGGGACTGTTCCTTTGGGTGAGGGGTACAGACTTTGGGACTGGGGTGGGTCAGGCCCCCCAGAAGTCCTCCCAGCTCTTCTCAGAGCCATTCAGCAGTGGGCACGTTGGATGGCTGCCCAAATGGGCCTGGTGCTTGGCTGACTTTTCATACACTGAGTTGGCTCAAAGCAGGGTCTGCCATTCCAAGCTGTGCTTTGCCCAGGGTCTCAAAAAGCTGCCCTCAGAGACTGGGCAGGGGTCACTGTGGAAGGATGTGAGTGACGGCCACCTCATCATGTGGGCAGACCACAGCCACCCCACCCCTAAAGAGGCAGTTGCGCTCATTGACCCCAGTCCTTGGCTCTCCCTGTCGCCTCCCAGACAAGATGTCCCTGCAGATTTGAAGCAGGAGGAATCGCTGGGTTGACTTTTATCTCAGTTCTGCATGACAATGGTTGGGATTCCTAGGAGTGCCCAGGAGGGTCCAGGCCTTCAGTGGGCAGCCACTGTCTGTCTCCAACTGAGGTGGCCTCAATGTGGCCAGAGGGCCTGGTTTTTCTAGAGAAGCTGAGAATTCTACTTCTTACGTAAAATTTCCCAGTCTGAAAATGTTAGCAAAAAAAAAAAAGAAAATGTTAGCAACAAATGTTGCCAGTGCTGTGGGGACCGACACAGACCATGACTACTCGAAGTCACTGTGACTGATCCTGTCTGAGTTCTGGGTGGTCAGGTGAGGAAACTGAGGCCTCAGAGGGCCTGGCCTGTTGGGGTGTCTAGGCACTGGGGCCCCTGCCCCCATCAGGAGGGCCCAGTGGGCTGGTGCCAGGACCCCCAGCCATCTGATCACCCCTTTGCCTCAGTTCTTGCTCCAGTCTGGACCTGTGGACACCCAGGCTGGTATCTGATTTCCAGGTGAGATCCCAGCTGGCAAGTGCAGCTGGATGCTCCATTCAGCCACGGAGCTGGCAGGCCTGTCCTGTCAGGCTTAGGCACTTTGATGGTGGCTGCTTTGGATCTGTGATGTTTTTGAGGGGACCGCAGCTGGCAGCTGGCCACAGGATGTCCGTTTGTGCAGGGTCTGGTAGGAGCTCCTGCCCCTCCTTCCCAGAGGCTTTTGTTCCTGAAGGTCCCTGTGGCCTGGGGCTGTGACCTGCCCCTCAGCACATTTGTCCTGAGGGGGGTCTGCTGCAGTTCATCTGCTGGAGCCCCAGGGGAAAGGGGAGCAGGAATCAGTTTCATGGGGACTGTGGGCTGAGCAGCTGTGCAGTGGGAGTGGGGTTCAAGGGAGTCCGTGAGGGGCTGATGGCTGCCTGTCTTTGTGTGGCTGTTTGTGTTGGTGATTTGTGCGAGGGTGTGTGTGCAGGTGTGCACGCCGTGGGGATGTGCAGGAGGGTGGCCCCCAGCTGGCAGCTTTGTGCTCTCCCTTGCTCACTCATTCAGCCACACAGCCTCCCACGTCTGGAACCTGGGGGCTCCAGGGAAGGTGAAGGGTGGCTGGTGTCTCTGAGCCAGCTGGGCAGCCATGGCGAGGCTGGAGGTCTGCAGCGGGAGGCTCGGTGGGACCTGGGAGCTGGCTGCTCACCCGGCCTCTGCCCTCAGAGCAGCTCGTGCTGGGTGCCTCGCAGGAGCCAGTGGGCCGCTGGGACCAGGACTATGACAGGGCTGTGCTGCCACTGCTGGACGCCCAGCAGCCCTGCTACCTGCTCTACCGCCTCGACTCTCAGAATGCTCAGGGCTTTGAATGGCTCTTCCTCTCGTGGTCACCTGATAACTCCCCCGTGAGTCCTGGGCCAGCGGGCAATGAGGAGGGGAGCTGGGGCTGAGCGGGACAGCAAGGCCTTGCCCTGGGGGATCTGGGAGAGGACCCAGGCCTGCCCCTGGAGGACGGGTGAAGAGTCATCAGGCCTTACCCCAGGGAGTCTGAGAGAGGGACAAGGCCCTGTGCCCGAAGCCTGGGAACCTCACGCCCTTGGGGCACCAGCCTGGCTGGCTCCTGGAGGCTGTGGTTGGCCTGGGCAAGGGCTCCCCCTGCTGGTGGGAGCCTCCTGCTGCTCCTTCGCCCCGGCCTGGCTTTCTGCTGGGTGTGCGGCTTCAGTGAGCCTACCGGCTCCCTCCAGAGGTGCCTGCCTGTTCCGGGAGAGGCAGCCCTGCCCAGAGGCCTCTCACAGTTGGCCCTTGCCCTTCAGGTGCGGCTGAAGATGCTGTATGCGGCCACACGGGCCACGGTGAAAAAGGAGTTTGGAGGTGGCCACATCAAGGATGAGCTCTTTGGGACCGTGAAGGTAACTTTAAGTCAGGACTGACTGGGACACAGTCCCGGGCCCACAGAGACAGGTCACTGTGCAGGGTCAGAGAGCAAGACAATGCCAGCCTTAGGAGGAAGATGGGGGCGCTTGGGGAGTCCAAGGGCTGCAAGCTGGCGTACTTGGTGGGCTGCCTCCAGCCGCCCCCTGCAGGTACCCATTTATGGCTCAGCATTCACCCCCACCCCCCCCAGGATGACCTCTCTTTTGCTGGGTACCAGAAACACCTGTCATCCTGTGCAGCACCTGCCCCGCTAACCTCGGCCGAGAGAGAGCTTCAGCAGATTCGCATCAACGAGGTGGGTGGGGAGCAGAGGTCCCAGCCTTGAGCCCTCAGGGTCATATCAGGCCCACTGGCAGCCTGTGCTGCCTGGGAGCCACAACGTGCTTTGAGCTGGTGAGGGGCTCCCTCACCATTCCCTTGCCCATAGGTGAAGACAGAGATCAGCGTGGAAAGCAAGCACCAGACCCTGCAGGGCCTCGCCTTCCCCCTGCAGCCCCAGGCCCAGCGGGCACTCCAGCAGCTCAAGCAGAAGACAGTCAACTACATCCAGCTGGTGGGTGCCTGCTCCCTACCCTGGCATACGCTGCTGCCACCCCTACTCCTGCTCATGCACATGCGCAGATGTGCATGGAGTCCCTGCCCCACCAGCCTGCAGCCTGTCCCCTTCAGCTCGTCCATATGCTTGAGGGAACACACAGTCCGCCTCACCCCTCCCTGATCCCTCCCTATTCCGTCCCAGCTGTAGCCACTGTGTGCACATAGATGTGCTCTGGTCCCTTTTCCCCCAGGCCCTGCCCATACGCAGGTATACCTGTGAGCACACTGCCCCATTCTGCCTTCCACACATACCCCTGGGGTCACACTGACCCCTCAGCCCCAAGCCCCTTTCTGTTCCAGATTCCTTCTGCAGTCTCCTGAGCAGCCCTAGGCAGGGTCCTTCTGTTCTGGCCATTCTGGCTGCCCCTTTCAAGCAAAACAGCTCCTCCCTTCCAACGTGCTTCCTCCAGAGGCCTGGCCTCGAGGACGGGCTGGCCCAGCGGCAGTGTCTCCTGGAGGTCGAGACCCTCCACACCATTCTGTCCCATGCCATTTCTACCCTTGGTGGGAGTTCCTTCTCCAGTACAGCCTTCAAAGGGGCAGAGTTGGGGCTGGGCCCAGGACTGTCCTCTTCAGAGGGGACCCCCATAGAGGGATGGCCATTGCAGGGGAGTCTTGGGAGAGGGAGGTCATGTCAGGCTCCTGCCCACCAGCTAACCCTATTTGAGACTTCTTAGGGAAAGGGGCCTGGGCCCACCCCAACCTGGTGCTCTCCCGTCTCCCCTTGGCCCCTGTCAGAAGCTGGACTTGGAGCGGGAGACCATTGGGCTGGTGCACACAGAGCCCACGGATGTGGCCCAGCTGCCCTCCCGGGTGCCCCGAGATGCTGCCCGCTACCACTTCTTCCTCTACAAGCACACCCATGAGGGTGACCCCCTCGAGTCTGTGGGTAAGTGGCCATGGCAGGGCCGCCAAGCCTGTGGCTGGGTGGGCAGGGCTGGTCTGTGGTGGGGCGGGCCTGCTCTGGGCATGAAGGTCAGCAGGTTTCCCAGGCCTCCCCAGCTCACCTCCTGTCCTCTGCAGTGTTCATCTACTCCATGCCGGGGTACAAGTGCAGCATCAAGGAGCGCATGCTCTACTCCAGCTGTAAGAGCCGCCTCCTCGACTCCGTGGAGCAGGACTTCCATCTGGAGATCGCCAAGAAAGTAGGCGTCTTCCCCAGGGCCTCGTCTCCCTGGGCCCTGTCACCCTGATCTCCATGCAGGGCGTTGGGGTCCTGAGATGATGGCAGAGCAGGAATCGTTGCTGCCATGTTGATCACAGGGAACCTGAGCCCCAAGGGGTGACATGTATTGCCCAAGACTGCCCAGCTGATTGGTGGCTCAGAAATGCCCAAGTCGTGGCTACTATGTCATGTCCTTTCCCTGGACCTGGAGACAGGGAGGAGGTGACCCCAGCAAGCAGAGTCCGAGGCATGCAGGGCAGCAGGCCCTAAGCTGTTGTGTTCCTGAGGGTGGCATTCCAGGTGGGGTTTCAAGGGGAGACCCCAGGAGACCCCAGGGCTACGATGTGAGATCAGGGGATACCCCAGGAGTGGGAGCTACTAGGGGTGGTATGTGTCAGAGCCCCTACCATTGGGGTGACCACTGCCTTGCCCCATGCAGATTGAGATTGGCGATGGGGCAGAGCTGACGGCAGACTTCCTCTACGACGAGGTGCACCCCAAGCAACATGCCTTCAAGCAGGCCTTCGCCAAGCCCAAGGGCCCAGGGGGCAAGCGGGGCCACAAGCGCCTCATTCGAGGCCCCGGGGAGAATGGGGATGACAGCTAGGGGGCTGGAGCTGGGCCAGCCACCGCGTGTGGACTGTGGGGCTGCCCGCCTTCTGCTCCCTGCCACCATCCTCCTTCCTGGGCCCCAGGAAAGTGCTTCCAGGAGGGCAGGAAGGCTGGCAGCTGAACACACTTGCAGTTTCTGAGGGCCACTGGGCTGGTGTTTTGTGACCCTTCCCTGTTGCTGTCCCTGCGTCTCATCTGTGTGCCCAGGGTGTCCGGGAACTCTGCCTGGCTGGCTCAAGGGGGCTGGATCAGGGGCCTGTCATGAACCTGGCCTCCCAGGGAGCTGAGACTAGGGTCCCAGCACAGCCCAGAAGCCTTTGGCCATAAAAGGTGGGGTCAGCCAGGGCTGGGCAGGGGTCACTGCAGTTTGGGATGGATGAATGCTGTATTTTCTAAAGAATAAAATATTTTTAAATCAAGACTTGCACTTGGCCCTGAGACTGCCTCTGGCCCTGGGAGTTGGGCAGCCCTATGCATATAACTGTCCTCTCCCAACGGGAGAGAGGGGACTGCCGGCCTTCGAGGTGGAGCACGGCTCTGCCTCCAGCTGTATGGGAGAGGCTGTGTCTGTGGGGGGAGGGGTGCAGCCTTGCTCCAGTCTCCCAGTCAACAGGAGCTCTCTTGAGAGGCAGGCGCGCCTCCCTCGTGACATGGGGGACCTGGGTATGTTCATTTGCTGTGGCTGCCGTAACAAATTACCACCAACTTAGTGGCTTAGAAGAAACCCAAGTGTATCCTCTTTCAGTTCTGGAAGCTGGAAGACTGAGATGGATCTCACTTCCAAAGTGGAGGTGTTAGCAGGGCAGGCTCTGTCTGAGCCCCTTGGGAGAACCTGTCTCCTGGCCTTTTCTGGCTTCCAGAAGCTGCCTGTATTCCTTGGCTTGGGGCCGCTTCATCCACCTTCAAAGCCAGAGGTGACATCTGTGATTCTGCTGACCTTGGCCTCTGGGCTCCCATGGCCTTTTGGAGTTGAATCTCCCTCTGTCTCCATTTCATAAAGGACTTTGTGATTGCATTCACCCTCCCCACCCCCACTACCTTCCCACCTCAAGGTGGGGAACTTAATCACATTGTTGAGGTCCTTTTGGCCACACTCCATGTGGGGTGTTAGGGTCATGTGTTGGCAGGTTTGGGGAATTAGGGCAAGGATCTCTGAGAGGGGGTTTTTGCAGCCTCCTGCATGGCATAAGGGCTCTTCCCCGAAGGTCCCAGCCTCCCTGGGCTGAGGCCAGGACAGCTGTTTCTGTGGACGTTGGTATCGGTGTCTCTAGGCTGAGTGTGTCCATGTGCATGGGTCTGTATGTGTGTGTGCAGACCCCACTGTCAGCCTACTGGCCTCTCTGGTTTTCTCCCTCCAAGGGAGGCAGGACCACTGCTGGGTATGGGAATCTGGGTCCCTGGTCCAAGGGACTCTGGGAAAGTCTCACGCTTGGGGTTCCACAGGAGCCAAAATTTCGGTGTGTGCCTGCAGGGCAGGACAGTCAGAAAGGTGGATGGAGGGAATGAATGCAGGCGCCTGCCACCCCAGGCAGGCAGGGGCGGAAGCGTGGGGCGATGCCTGCAGCCCAGCTGCTGAGTGGGCACTGCCCTCCCTCCTAGCTTAGGGCAGCATTCTATCTCCGGTACCTTTCTGAGCCCTTGCTCAAGCCCCTAGAATTGTAGAGAGGATAGCCCAGACCCTAGCTAGGACCCAGGGGAGGGGCTGTCCTTGCCCAGCCTAAACACTGGCTCCCAGGTGGGCAGGAAGACGATGCCATCACCCCTGCCTTGGAGCCTGCCTGTCCTGACACCCAGCCAGAGTGGGCCTGGGGGAGCCGGCTGGCAGATGTACAGCCCTGCCTCATCCCAGCATCAACCCCATTTGTTTATTCAGGCTTCACTCAGAAACACCCTCTCTGTGCTGCCCAGAGCTGAGTGCTGGGTACTCATAATTCAGCAGATGTCAAGCACCTACTATGTGTTGGGCACCATACTGGGTCCTAGGGATGCAGATAAAAGATCACTTCCCTCAAGAGGCTGACATTCCAGCAGGGGAATAAGACAATATACAATGAACTATGAAAGATCAATGATCCGGTGTGCTAACAGAAAATGTTAGGGCAAGAGAAACAGAGCGGGCAAAGGAGCTCAGGGTGCTAGACCTGGAGTGGGAGATTTGTAAGAGGACTGGATGGTCCTGTTGAGAGGGTGACATGGAAGCAGAGACACAGTGGAGGCGAAGGAGGGGCCATGTGAGGCTTGGGAGAGCTTCCAGGCAGAGAGGGCAGCACATCCCAAGGCCCCGAGGCAGGACAGTGCATGGGGGCTACTCAGTCAACTGAAAGCAGGCCAGTGTGCCAGCAGATGCAGGTCCCACAGGGCCTTTTCGGCCATCCGTGGACTGTGGCTTTGACGCCTGAGGCGGCCGGGGAGGGGTCTGAGCAGAGGAAGGACCCCGTGTGACTTATGTTTGAACAGGTCCCTCCAGGGTTTGAAGATGACCAGCTGCGGGTGGAGAGCAGGGCAGGACAGCCAGAAAGGCAGTAGCACCTGCGTGGGTGTGGGAGAGAGGATGGGGGCTGGTCGACATGGGGGTGGCGGGCTGTGGGCACATCCTTCAGCATGGTGGAGCCAGCAGGACTTGCTGAGGGGCCTGGGGTCACCTGAGGCTTTGGGCCCGAGGAATCTGAGTCCTGTCACCTAGGTCAGAAAGACTATAAGAAGAACTGCTGGGGAGGACCAGCTGGGAGCCCCACTGGGCCAGTGCATACCTGGCCTCTAGGAGCCCCGTCTGGAGTGACGTGGTGTGTGCTCTGATGGGACCCCAGGGGCTCTGGGAATGCGGAGGAGGTCTTGTTTCCGGAAGAGGTTGCAAGGCTGTGGTGAAGGCAGGTGCACCCCAGCCTCCTGCTCAAGCTACACCCCAGCCCTCTGCGAATGAGGCTCGGCAAAACTCGAAGTGGCGCCCACAAGAGCAGGGAAGGACAAGTCGGGAGCCACTGTCCTGAGGGCACCAGCTGTGGTGTGGGAGCCAAGGCCTGAGGGTGAGAGTCCTCTGAGAATGGGGAGGGCCCAGCACAGGTGTACCCGCCACTGCTGCTACCCGAATTCCCATCTCTCCTTGCTCTCTGCCTGGGCTCGGGCCTTAGCTTCACCCTGGGCTTGGTGGAGGACAGGTGCGCAGCCCTCATGGGATGTAGGCTGTCTGAGGGGGGAGTGGAAAGAGGAAGAGGTAAAGGGGCTGTCTGCCATTTGACTATGCAAATGGCCTTTGACTCATGGGACCCTGTCCTCCTCACCACGGGCAGGGTGAGTGGAGGGGGAGCTACTTGGCTGGGGTAAAAGTCTCACTTCCTCTATTCTCTGAGCCACTGCTGCCTCTGTGGGAAGGGACCTTGAATGTGAAGCATCCTTCCCTGCGGCTGCTGTCCAGTCTGCCCGCCACCCCCTGGAGAAGTCCCTGATCCCCAGCATGGTAGGACAACAGCTCTTAGTCCCCTGGAGAAGGGACATCCTGGGGAGGTGTTGGGAGAGAGGTGGGCTTGGCAGCTGCAAGCAACAGTAACGGGTTGTCACCCACATGGCCCTTGGGACACTCACTGAACCCCAAACACAGCAGAGCTGAAGCCTTCTTCTTCTCCTGCTCCTCCTCCTCCTTCCTCCTCCTCCTCTTCTTCTTCCTCTTCTTCTCTTCTTCTTCTTCTTCCTCCTCCTCCTCCTCCTCCTTCTTCTTCCTCTTCTTCTTCTTCTTTCTTCTTTCTTCTTCTTCGACAGAATTTTGCTTTTGTTGCCCAGGCTGGAGTGCAATGGCACAATCTCAGCTCACCTCAACCTCTGCCCCCTGCATTCATGCAATTCTCCTGCCTCAGCCTCTCGACTAGCTGGGATTATAGGCACCCACCACCACCACGCCTGGCTAATTCTTTGTATTTTTTAGTAGAGACGGTTTTTCACTATGTTGGCTAGGCTAATCTCAAACTCCTGACCTCAGGTGATCTGCCTACCTCGGCCTCCCAGAGTTCTGGGATTACAGGCATGAGCCACTGTGCCCGGCCACTGAAGCCCTCTTCTGAGCAGAGACCCAAACCCGGAGAGGGCACAGGGAGGCTGAGGCAGTGACAAAGCTGCGGCTGGAGCCTGGGCTTGGGTCTCACTGGGCCTGCAGCTTGGGGCTGGGCTCTGCCTGGTGCTTTGCTGGCCACCCCTCCCCCCATCTGTTCTGACTCATAGGGCAAGGGTTCTCGGGCTGGGAGAGGCGGGCAGAGAGTAATGGAGCTGTGCAGTACCCACCCTGGTCAGGGACCCTGGGATCCTGGACCATCGTGGGAGACTCTTATCCATGCCTGGGTTTCCGCCAAAGGGAAAGGAAGGGGTTGAGGGGAGGCTGGTGGAGAGCAGAGAGTGGATTTCAGGGCAGCTGGAGGGGAGAGAGCCAGATGCCACCTTACTCAAGAGCAGGAAGAGAAAGTCGGGAGAGTCCAGGGGGGCTGTGGGCCACCTTGCCTGACCCTGCTGGATAGCTAGGCATTGGTTACAGTGAAAGCTCCAGATCATGAGTCTGGATTCCAAGTCTCAGTCCTGGTTCCAAGGCCTAATTCTGAGTCCATGGCTGGATCTGAGACTGAGTTCAGGTTCCCCACAAGCCATGGAGGATGGGAAGGGGGCTTGGCAAACAGGGAAGAACTTCTGAGTGAGAGCTTGGAGAGAGGGACTGGAAGATGCTGGAAGATACCCATGAAGTGAAGTGGGTGGAGGTGGGGCTGGGGACCAGCCACTCACACAGCCCTCCCACCCCCACAGGGTTTCTGCCGCAGCACCCTGCACCCGCTGTCTATCCTGGTGCAGGCCATGGTGCTGGCCATGACCCTGGCCCTGGGTACCTTGCCTGCCTTCCTACCCTGTGAGCTTCAGCCCCATGGCCTGGTGAACTGCAACTGGCTGTTCCTGAAGTCGGTGCCCCACTTCTCTGTGGCAGCACCCCGGGGCAATGTCACCAGCCTTTCCTTGTCCTCCAACCGCATCCACCACCTCCATGATTCTGACTTTGCCCATCTGCCCAGCCTGCGGCGTCTCGACCTCAAGTGGAACTGCCCGCCAGTTGGCCTCAGCCCCATGCACTTCCCCTGCCACATGACCATTGAGCCCAACACCTTCTTGGCTGTGCCCACCCTAGAGGAGCTAAACCTGAGCTACAATAGCATCACGGCTGTGCCTGCACTGCCCAAATCCCTCGTATCCCTGACCCTCAGCCGCACCAACATCCTGGTGCTAGACTCTGCTAGCCTGGCTGGCCTTCATGCCCTGCGCTTCCTATTCATGGATGGCAACTGTTACTACAAGAACCCCTGCAGGGAGGCACTGGAAGTGGCCCCGGGTGCCCTCCTTGGCCTGGGCAACCTCACCCACCTGTCACTCAAGTACAACAACCTTACCGTGGTGCCCCGCAACCTGCCTTCCAGCCTGGAGTATCTGCTGTTGTCCTACAACCACATTATCAAACTGGCGCCTGGGGACCTGGCCAATCTGACGGCCCTGCGTGGTCTCGATGTGGGTGGGAATTGCCGGCGCTGCGACCACGCTCCCAACCCCTGCCTGGAGTGCCCTCGTCACTTCCCCCAGCTACACCCCAATACCTTCAGCCACCTGAGCCGTCTTGAAGGCCTGGTGTTGAAGGACAGTTCTCTCTCCTGGCTGAATGCCAGTTGGTTCCACGGGCTGGGAAACCTCCGAGTGCTGGACCTGAGTGAGAACTTCCTCTACGAATGCATCACCAAAACCAAGGCCTTCCAGGGCCTGACACAGCTGCGCAAGCTCAACCTGTCCTTCAATTACCAAAAGAGGGTGTCCTTTGCCCACCTGTCTCTGGCCCCCTCCTTCGGGAGCCTGTTCTCACTGGAGGAGCTGGACATGCACGGCATCTTCTTCCGCTCGCTGGATGAGACCACGCTCCGGCCGCTGGCCCGCCTGTCCAGGCTCCAGACTCTGCATCTGCAAATGAACTTCATCAACCAAGCCCAGCTCGACATCTTCGGGTCCTTCCCCGGCCTGCGCCATGTAGACCTGTCGGACAACCGCATCAGTGGAGCTTCAGAGCTGGCGGCCACCACAGGAGAGGCGGACGGTGGGGAGAAGGTCTGGCTGCAGCCTGGGGACCTTGCTCCAGCCCCAGTGGACACTCCCAGCTCTGAAGACTTCATGGCCAACTGCGGCACCCTCAACTTCACCTTGGATCTGTCGCGGAACAACCTGGTGACCGTGCGACCGGAGATGTTTGCCCGGCTCTCGCACTTGCAGTGCCTGCGCCTGAGCCACAACTGCATCACTCAGGCGGTCAATGGCTCGCAGTTCCTGCCATTGACTGATCTGCGCGTGCTGGACTTGTCCCACAATAAGCTGGACCTGTACCATGAGCACTCGTTCACAGAGCTACCGCGATTGGAGGCCTTGGACCTCAGCTACAACAGCCAGCCCTTTGGCATGCAGGGCGTGGGTCACAACTTCAGCTTCGTGGCCCACCTGCGCACCCTGCGGTACCTCAGCCTGGCCCACAACAACATCCACAGCCGAGTGTCCTCGCAGCTCTGCAGCACCTCGCTGCGGGCCCTGGACTTCAGTGGCAATGCGCTGGGCCGGATGTGGGCCGAGGGAGACCTCTATCTGCACTTCTTCCAAGGACTGAGCGGCTTGATCTGGCTGGACTTGTCCCAGAATAGCCTGCACACCCTCCTGCCCCGTACCCTGGGCAACCTCCCCAAGACCCTGCAGGTGCTGCGTCTCCGTGACAATAAGCTGGCCTTCTTTAAGTGGAAGAGCCTTGCCCTCCTGAGCAAATTGGAAGCCCTCGACCTGGCAGGAAACCAGCTGAAGGCCCTGACCAATGGCAGCCTGCCTGCCATGACCCGGCTCCGGAAGCTGGACATCAGCAGCAACAGCATCAGCTTTGTGGCCCCGGGCTTCTTTTCTAATGCCAAGAAGCTTCGAGAGCTCAACCTCAGCGCCAATGCCCTCAAGACAGTGGACCCCTCCTGGTTTGGGCCCCTGGTGGGTGCCCTGAAAATACTAGATGTGAGCACCAACCCTCTGCACTGCGCCTGCGGGGCGGCCTTTGTGGACTTCCTGCTGGAGGTGCAGGCTGCCGTGCCTGGCCTGCCCAGCCGGGTGAGGTGTGGCAGTCCCGCCCAGCTCCAGGGCCAAAGCATCTTCGCACAGGACCTGCGCCTCTGCCTGGATGAAGCCCTCTCCCGGGACTGTTTCAGCCTCTCGCTGCTGGCTGTGGCTCTGGGCCTGGGGGTGCCCCTGCTGCATCAACTCTGTGGCTGGGACCTCTGGTACTGCTTCTACCTGGGCCTGGCCTGGCTTCCCCGGTGGGGGCGGCGAGGTGGACGAGGTGAGGATGCCCTGCCCTACGATGCCTTCGTGGTCTTTGACAAGGCGCAGAGCGCCGTGGCAGACTGGGTGTACAATGAGCTTCGGAGGCAGCTGGAGGAGCGCCGTGGGCGCTGGGCACTCCGCCTGTGCCTGGAAGAGCGTGACTGGCTACCTGGCAAGACCCTCTTTGAGAACCTGTGGGCCTCGGTCTATGGCAGCCGCAAGACGCTGTTTGTGCTGGCCCACACAGATCGGGTGAGTGGCCTCTTGCGCGCCAGCTTCTTGTTGGCCCAGCAGCGCCTGCTGGAGGACCGCAAAGATGTTGTGGTGCTGGTGATCCTGAGTCCCGAAGCCCACCGCTCCCGCTACGTGCGGCTGCGCCAGCGCCTCTGCCGCCAGAGTGTCCTCCTGTGGCCCAACCAGCCCAGCGGTCAGCGCAGCTTCTGGGCTCAGCTGGGTATAGCCCTGACCAGGGACAACCACCACTTCTATAACCGAAACTTCTGCCAGGGACCCACGACCGAATAACCCTGAGTCAGAGTCCCTCACGGCACCGCCTCCATGCTCACTGCACCTCTGCCTGCCTTGCTCCTCTTCTGCTTGCCTCCCTCACCCTACAGCTGACACAGAGCAGACACTCAATAAATGCTGCTGAAGGCCAGATGGCTAACCCTGAACTTACTGGAAGCATGGGTGGGAGAAGGGAAGGGAGAATTCTCCAGGTCTCCACGAAGCAGCTTAGGGAAAATTGCTGTAAAGACAGGACAGAGGTCTGCAGGGGAGGAAGCTGTTAAGCTTAGCTCTCTGGGGAGTCTGATGATGGTCACTGGATGTAGTCTTGGTCCTTCCCAGAGAGCAGGGCCCCGTTTAGCTCCTCCCAGAGTGTCCTGCCCTACCTTTCTGATGCAGAGCCGGGCAGCTCCTGCTGGACTTGGCCCAGCACCACTTTGTTGTGTATGGGTCTCAGGTGTCTGTCTCCCTCACCCACTGGTCTGGAATACCTTGAAGGCAGAGAAGCTGCAGGTAGTTCACTTCTGGTCCTCAGCAAAGTCTTGAGCGGTAGCAGCTCTGGGGACTGCTTATTTCAAAGCAGAAGGGGAGAATGAATTGCGGTGAGGGCGGAGGGGTGATTATGCCCTTTAGTGGCCATGCCTGTGCCAAGTGGAGAAGGCTGGTTCAGGCTGGGGAGAGGAAGGCCTGTGGGTGCATCCCTGCAGCAGGGAGCTGGGACGCACAGAAGACTGTAGGAGAATCCACTCCTTTTCTCTTTCCAGGTGCATGCTGGGTCTCTCTGTTCTGATATTAAAGAGACACCTAGGCAAGCCACTTGCTTCCTTCCTTCCCTCCTTCACTCCCTCCCTCCCTCTTTTTCTTTCTTTCCTCTTTCTCTCTCTTTCTTTCTTTCTTTTTCTTTCTTTCTTACTTTCTTTTTCTTTGTCTTTGTCTTTTTTCTTTCTGAGACAAGGTCTCACTCTGTCACCCAGGATGGAGCGCAGTGGCATGAACACTGCAGCCTTGACCTCCTGGGGTCAAGCAATCCTCCCACCTCAGTCTCCTGAGTAGCTAGGACCACAGGGGTGCACCACCATACACAGCTAACTTTATTTTTATTCTGTAGAAACAGGGTCTCACTATGTTGCCCAGGCTGATCTCAAACTCCTGGATGCAAGTGATCCTCCCTCCTCAGCCCCACAAAATGCTGGGATTATAGGTGTGAGCCAGCAAGCCTGGCCTCTTTTTTTTTTTTTTTTTTTGCTAGGGTTTTACTCTGTTGCCCAGGCTGGGGTGCAATTTAATGGTGGGATCACAGCTCACTGCAGGCTCAACCTTCCAGGCTCAAGTGCTTCACCTCAGCCTCCCACGTAGCTGGGTCTACAGGATGTGTCACCACACCCAGCTAATTTTTATATTTTTAGTAGAGACAGAATTTCACCATGTTGCCCAGGCTGATCTTAAACCTGGGCTCAAGCAATCCTCTTGCCTCGGCCTCCCAAAATCCTGGGATTACAGGTGCGAGCCACCGTGCCTGGCCGCTGTATTTGATAATGTCGATTTCAGGATAGAGCTGCGAGCCCTTGATGACCAGTGTGTGGAGAGGTCAGGGTCTGTCCACAGCTGGATCTCCTCCACACTCTGTGGAGCCATGAGGAGTGTCAGGCCTGGAGCCCCCGAGGGGCCCTCTCCCAGGCTGGCAACTGACAATGTAGAATGTCACCACAGCCAAACCTACCCTTTGAGGAGTAGGGGAGAAATATGCAGGCTGACAGGTCGGAGCCTGCATATTTCTGGGCTGGGGCCCAGTGTGGCCTGCCCAGGCCAGCTTGAGATCTGCTCGGCCACTCAGGGCCTCTGGAGGGGAGGGCAGGAGCTGGCAGCAGATAGCTATCTTGGTCAGCTGATCAAGGGCAGCCCTTGGGGGATTGCTTTTGCCTCACTCCCCAGGGCATAGCTGTGAGGGAAGAATAGGCTGCATCCTCTTTCTGACTTGGGTACGGGGGCTCCTATGGTGGGCTGGAGTTCCCTGATATCTGCTCATCGGAAAGAAGGAGGGTCTCTGACCTACCAGTCGGAAGCCCTGTGCCCTGTGTGTGCTCTGACCCAACCTGTTCTTTCTTGGCTACCTGCAGAGAAAAGAACATAATAGTCCTTTCCAGCAGGCTGGAGTCTAGGGGATTCCCCTTCTGAGTGGCTCTGAGACTATTCTGGCCACAATCAGGGGCAGGAACAGGAAGCTGGAAACTGAGTCCCGTCCAGGGAACCATATTTTGCATGTGGGAGGTAAATCCGCCTCTCTTGGGATTTCCAGGCCTGCCCCCTGGCAGTTCCCAGTGGACCTTCCATCTCCCCACCCCCCACCCATGCTCACAGTCCTGATGCTTTTGGGGCTGGAGAAGCAGGAGAGTATTTGGAGAGGAAGCACGGTGGAGGGCTGTTGGGTTCGGCTCAAGTGAGTCTGGGGGTCTGTGGCACTTGGCTCTGTGTGGTCTATGGGATCAGAGAGGCTGAGCTCCACTCTCTCAGGTCTTGCAGGAAGTTGTTGGAGCGGTGCCAGGGTGGGGCTGGATGGGAGGCAGCTCCCACTGCACTGTAGTCAGGAAGGATGCTAGGGGTGGCTCCAGGCCCTCTCCTCCACACGGCAGCCATCCTCGCCCATCAATAGGCCAGGAAAGAGACAGGACTTAGGCCAGATTGCCTGGGCCTGCCTGCCAGTTCTGCCATTTGGGTTGTCTCAGGCAGGTGACCTCCCCTTCCAGAACCTCTGCTTGCTTGTTCTATAAATGGGAATGAGCCGTGCTACTCTGCAGAACGTTGGAGGATTCATATAATAAGGGTAGAGGTCTGAAACACAGAGCCGGGCCTCAGTTATTACGTGATGGGATTTACATGCAGGACCCTCAACTGATGTGGATTCTGTGTTTCTCTCCATCCAGAATATGATCCTCCTGGGCCAGGAACCCCTCCCAGGGCACTGACAAGGTTTAGAGGCAGTTGCATCAGAGGCACATGAAGCTGGGGCAGCAGCTCTCTCTGGGAGCAGGACCAGGGAAAGTCCATGGACCTGGTGTCGCCCCCTTGTGTTGGGGAGCAGAAAGTGCTCGTGGTGGTGCATGCTTGTAATCCCAGCTACTTGGGAGGCTGAGGCAGAATAGCTTGAACCTGGGAGGCAGAGGTTGCAGTGAGCCAAGATCACACCACTGCAGTAGTGCTCCCCAACACACGGAAGTAGAGGAGCGGGCCAAAGACTCAGGCAACCTGATAGGAGGAAAACTTCAAGGAGAGGAATGTCTGTTCACTAAGATTTCAAATACAGTTTGCCCTTTTCCCTCTAGGACACCTTATTTAATGCCCTTGGCTTCTAAATACCCTTAGAGAACTTTAATTTCACACTAGAGTTGCTTATAAAAGCCAAACTTCCTTTTTTTTTTTTTTTTTTAGACAGAGTCTTGCTCTGTTGCGCAGGCTGGAGTGCAGTGGTGCAATCTTGGCTCACTGCAACCTCTGCTTCCTGGGTTCAAGCAATTCTCCTGCCTCGGCCTCCCAAGTAGCTGGGATTACAAGCGTGCACCACCATACCTGGCTAATTTGTTGTATTTTTAGTAGACGGGGTTTCATCATATTGGCCAGGCTGGTCTTGAGCTCCTGACCTCAAGTGATCCACCTGCCTTGACCTCCCAAAGTGCTGGGATTACAGGTGTGAGCCACGGTGCCCAGCTCAAACTTCCATTTTTAAGCAGTTCACGAATCCCACCTACTTCCCACAGATCACCCAGTTCTTTGTTCTCACAACACCAAGAAGCAGGGAGGGGCACATGCGCCTGAGGACCTTGCTTCTGCTGGTTGTGGGTCTTACGAAGGAAGAGTGGGTCTTCCTAAGCATTTGGGCAGCAACGTTACCACAGCTGGAGGAAAACAATCCCATTTGAAGGAGGTAAAGGGGGTCCTGGGCGTGGGAATGTGAAGGACAGTGGAAAGCCCTGAGAGCTCCTGTGAGGCAGCAGAGCCGGGAACGCTGAGTGAGGCTCGTTTCCTGAGCATGAAGGAACCAAATCATGGCTGGGGTGATGTGGTTTCCATCAAGCCCTGTAGCCTGCCTAGATGTATGGTTTTATCTGATGGGACTGTGACTCAGCTGAGCTCTAAGGGTATGTGCCCCAGGCCCATTGCCAGCTTCCTGGGAAGGGATGCCAGCCCAACTCTGTCCAGAGAGAAGAAAACTCAGCTGCTGTTTCTAGAGCTACGAGAAGGGAGCAAGGTCAAAGGACTCTGCTCACCTCCAGCTGCTTGGTTTTGCTTCAGTTCTCCCAGTCTTTCTAGTGAACTTGACCTGTTGCCATTGTGTTTCTTTTTCATTCATCTAGTACACATTTGTTTAGCACCCACTATGTATCAGGTACTTTGTTGGACTTTGAGGATACGGAAGTAAGAAGACAGGGCACCTGTCCTCGGGGAGATGATATTACAACAGGGCAAATGGTCAGCAGGGGAAAAGTCATTGTGGGTGGTGACCAGAGCTCTGAAGGGCATCGTGGCAGAGGCCAAGCCATAGTGAGACCGCAAGACTGTCTGCCTTAGCTGCATGCTTAGCGACAGTCTCCCTGGGGACCCTTGTCCTGAGTGAAGAGAAGCAGCCACATCATGATCCAGGGGAGAAGCACTCTGGCAGAGAAAGCATGACTCACACCAGGGCCTGGAATTTGCAAAGAACCTGGGTATTTGAGGCCCACAGTGAACAAAGGAGGAAGATGGGGCTGGAGAACTGGATGGGACCTCGATCCTAACTTTGTCAGCCTGTGTGAGGAATTTAGTTTTTTTTGTTTTGTTTTGTTTTGAGAAGGTCTCACTCTGTCACCCAGGCTGGAGTGCAGTGGTGTGATCTCGGCTCACTACAACCTCCACCTCCCAGGTTCAAGCAATTCTCCTGCCTCAGCCTCCCAAGTAGCTGGGATTACAGGTGCACGCCACCACACCTGGCTACTTTTTTACATTTTTAGTAGAGACAGGGTTTCACCATGTTGGCCAGGTTGTTCTCGAACTCCTGACCTCAAGTGATCCACCTGCTTTGTCCTCCCAAAGTGTTGGGATTATAGGCATGAGCCACCTTGCCTGGCCTACAGTTTTTGGGTCAGGGTCTCGCTCTGTCACCCAGGCTGGAGTGCAG